GATTCATTAAAAAGTACAGGTTCCCGAAAGCCGATCAAGGCTTATGCACATACTTGAGATGGTCGAGAAGCATCTCCCAAATCAAAATAGAATGTGCACACCAGATTTAAACATTTGAAGAACTCAAGATCAGGGATCAGAACTTCAGGATTTCAAAATCAAGAGTCAACAACGACTGGCCACTGGAGATCGAGATTTCTCTCCATAGCCCACAATAACATATGGTGCATATGCATTTTAGGCATACCTAAGAGCATGACATCCATAACATCGCATATATGCATATCTTTGCAAGTTTTACCTAGAGCCAATTTCAACTTCACATCGAAGGATATTGGACTCCAGACAACGCAAGTTCAACTTCACGACGAATGGACCGTTGGTTGTCAACAACAACTTCCCAAATTCAGAGCCAATTTCAACTTCACAGCGAAGGATATTGGACTCCAGACAACGCAAGTTCAACTTCACCACGAAGGGACCGCTGGTTGTCAACAACAACTTCCCAATTTCAGAGCCAATTTCAACTTTACAGCGAAGGATATTGGACTCCAGACAACACAAGTTCAACTTCATGATGAAGGGACACCTGGCTGTCAACAACAACTTCCCAAATTCAGAGCCAATTTCAACTTCACAGCGAAGGATATTGGACTCCAGACAACGCAAGTTTAACTTCACGACGAAGGGACCGCTGGTTGTCAACAACAACTTCCCAATTTCAGAGCCAATTTCAAATTCACAACGAAGGATATTGGACTCAAGACAACGCAAGTTCAACTTCACAATGAAGGGACCACTGGTTGTCAACAACAACTTCCCAATTTCAGAGCCAATTTCAACTTCACAGCGAAGGATATTGGACTCAAGACAACGCAAGTTCAACTTCATGACGAAGGGACCGCTGGTTGTCAATAAATAATTTCCCAATTTCAGAGCCAATTTCAACTTCACAGCGAAGAATATTGGACTCGAGACAACGCAAGTTCAACTTCACAACGAAGGGATGACTGGTTATCAACAAACAACTTTTCAGTTACACCCGCGATTTCAATTCCACAACGGAGGATATCGTGCCACTCGAGACAACACAAGTTCAACTTCACGACGAAGGGTAGGGTGGTTGTCAACAAACAATTTCCCAGTTCCAGAACCAATTTCAACTTCACAGTAGAGGATATTGGCCTCGAAACAACACAACTTACATTGGATTTCAACTTCACGACGAAGGATATCCAATACTCAGGCTCAACTTCAAGGAAAATGAGTCACCTGCAACACAGCAACACCGAAGTCTTTAGGACAAGTTCCACCTTCACGGTGAAGTATCTAGAAATAGAAGACGATCCATGAATTACTTTTTAATACTCTGAGTTCGATTTCAACTTCACTACGAAGGATTTCGTGTTCAGAATTTTGCCATTTTTTGACTCAACCTCACGACGAGGGAGTCGTTACATGTTTCAAATTGACAAACCAGTTTTAACATCAGATTGTAACTCTACGACAAAGGATATTTAATGTGAACGAAAAGTGTATTTTTTAATCTTTGCTCTATCCCCGTTACACGACTATGGGCAAAGAGGGACAGCTGTCGACACACTTTTTTATGACCAAAATAAACATATATTTATATATTATATATATATTGCATAAATATTATCATTATTTTACTAAACTAATACATTTTACATTTGTCTCATTTCTGTATCAGGCCCAAAATTTCATTTGGCCTAGCAGGAGCACCCAAACCGGTCCAACCTCAACCCAAATCAGTTAGGGTTTTTACAACCCTAACCCTATCACTCGTTCCAGCTAGCGCCGCAGTAGCCAAGGAGACTTTCCCTCGCCTTTCTCTCCGAGTTTCCCGACCGTACAGCTCATCTCCAACAGCCCCGAGATCTCCGGCTCAACAAATAATAGAGTTAGAGTTCTAATAGGAATTAAACTATAAAATCTTAGGCTATAAATCCCATGTAACTAGAACACTCACACACACGGTTTTTGGCACAGAGAATTTTCATACGAAAATACGCACAAAGATTACGAAGCAAAAACAAAGTTCCTGAAGCATATTTTGTAATATTTTCTCGAAGTGAAATAAAGGTAAGGTTCATACCTTTTTAAATTTTCAGCTTGCATGTTTCGTTGTGGCCTTCGTTTTTAAAAAAAAAAACCGAACGTCAATGACCAAAGGGGGAAGGCTTCGAAATTTCGAACCTAGATCTACTATCCTTGAGGTGTTTTTTCAAAAAAGTGTTTTGATATTTGAAGAGAGTGTACGAAGAGGTTTTTAAAAATGCAAAAAATATAGTTTTGCCGCCGATGACTGGTGGCCGTCACCGATCAACGGCGGCGGCGAGGCGGCGCTGAGGCGGCCGGATTCTGGAGACTCATCGTGTTCTTCATTTTGAAGAACAGACGAGAGAGTTTGAAAAAGAGGGAGGGGGCATTCGGTTGAGAGGAAGAGAAATGGAAGATTAAGGAAGTGAAGTGGCTTAAATGCTTGGCCCGTTAACCCATTGCATCGCCCATGACCCAACCCGGCCACCCCTAGATCCGCGCGTTTTGTAAAAGAAAGGGAGCAATCCCGTTTTTCGTCCCTCTATATTTTTACAAGCTGATTTTGGTCTCCAATCGAGTTTACATCTTGGTTTTAGTTCGAAATTTGGCCACTCAATTCGCTGTAATTTCAATTTAACCCTTTTGTGATTATTTTTTATTATTTTTATTCCTTTCGTATAACTATTATCATTTTTTATTATGTTTCTTATTTTATTTTATATATATATTCATTTTGGTTTCCATTTATTTATATTTTATTACTATTTTTATTATATTGTATATATGTATATATATATATATATATAGTTTTCTCTTTATTATTATTATCTTTGTATATATTATGTTGTTATTTCATTTCTTTTATTTATCTTGTTTTATTTATTTATTTTTCTTGTCTAGTTGTTATGTATTTATTTATTTACATACATTTTTTTACTTTATTTTTTTTATTTATTTTTTTTTCGTTTGTTTTATTTCATCTATTTCTTATCGTCTTTATTTTCGATTCACTTTCATTTTTTCCCTTAACATTCATTTTCCTTTAAGGGTACGTTTTCAATTAATCAGTGGTAAGTATTCAGGTCGACATTTTATCTTTCAATTTAAACTTATAATTTTCTTAATTAAAGACAACTGGAAATTATGTAGTACCGAAAGGGCAGTTCAATGGTGCTAACCCTTCCTTGACTGTAACCGACTCCCGAATCCGACACATATCTGGCACGATGCAGATCAAGTAAGAAATAAGGTATCCGGTCAACCTATTTATTTTTAAACAAATGATCGGTGGTAACTCCAATTCATTTAATCCAAGTCGAAGCCTAAATTCGGGGTCCAATCGAAAGGCGGTTCCGACAGCTACCATTCGAATATAAACTTGACGAAGTTGGAGGAGACGACATATTTGGAGAAGGGGGTTGTAACACTTCGATCTGTGGAGCTGTTTCTTTACTTGCAATTTCAAACTTGACATCACCTGCATTTTCTTCCCAAGACCAGCTTGCATCCTCATTGAAAATCACATTTCTACTGATTATTATTTTGCCATCAATAGGACTTTACAACCTGTAAGATTTGGACTCAGAACAATAACCAACAAAAATGCATTTTGTTGATTTTTCATCAAGTTTGCTGCGTTTATGTGAGTCAACTAAAGTATAAGAAACATAACCAAAAACCTTTAAGTGGCTTACCCAAGGTCTTTTTCCGTACCAAGCCTCATATGGAGTTTGATTGAGAACAACCCTTGTTGGTGACAAATTCAACAAGTAGACTGCAGTTGCAACATCTTCTGCCCATAATTGATTCGGAAGTCCTTTAGCTTTCAACATGCTTCTTGCCATTTCCACAACCGTTCGATTTTTCCGTTCAGCAACACCGTTCTCTGGAGTGTATGGAGCAGTTAGCTCTCTTCTCAGACCTTGTTCTTCACAGAAACTATTAAACTCATGTGATACAAATTCACCGCCTCTATCTGTACGCAGAGCCTTGATGCATCTTCCAGTTTGCTTCTCCACAAGTGCCTTGAATCTTTTGAATTTTTCAAATGTTTCTGACTTGAACTGTAAGAAGTAAACCCAACTCATCCGGCTACAATCATCTGTAAATAATAAAAAAATATCTACTCCCACCAAATGATTGAGTTTTCATGGGACCAACCACATCAGCATGTACAAGTTCAAGGCACCTCAATGCCCTTCTAGACTTCCCCACAGGAAATGATTTTTTACATTGTTTTCCATATATGCACCCTTCACACATATCTAAAGACTCAATTTTAGGCAATCCATCAACCATTTTCTTTTGACACAATAATTTCAAACCTTTGACATTTAAATGGCCATACCTCAAATGCCATAATCTCGACTCACTGGTTTCTTTGACAGCAAGTGCATGGTTTTGAACATCAGAAATAGCAAGTGGGAATAACTTGTTTGGTGTCATGCGAACGTCAACTATAGTTTGATCTGATTTTTTATCTTTGATCACACATGAGACATCATCGAACATGATAGAGTATCCAGTAGCCATGAGTTTCCCTACACTCAACAGATTTTGTGATAGACTTGGAATGTAATAAACATAATAGAGAAGTTTCACATTACTAGAACTGCTTTTGACTGCCACATTGCCCTTCCCTTCCACTTGAAATTGCTTGTTGTCTCCAAGTGTTATTTTTTTTAAGGTTTCGTCAATCTCGTTGAATAATGACTTCACACCAGTCATATGATTCGAGCACCCACTGTCTAGAAACCAAATGTTGCTATGACTTGATGCATTTTCTTGATACACCATGAATAATTTGATCTCATCATCTTCTTGCTCTGCATAACTTGCTTGTTCCTGCTTTGATCTTCGCCAGCAATCTGCCTTCACATGCCCAAATTTTTTACAGTAACAACATTGGATAAACCTTTTGTAATCTCGTTGTTGTGTTTGATTTTGGTATCCATCGCTTCAGCCTCGTCCTCTGCCACGACCTCCTCGTCCACGAGATCCAACCTGACCTCGCCATTTTTGTTCATTTTTCTGGGGAAATGCCTCCCCTTTCACATGAAAAGCCCTTTCCTCGGTCTTCTCTTCCGTTCTGTTCAACCTCGTCTCATGGGACTGCAATGATCCCATTAATTCATCAAATGTGAATGTTTCCAGGTCTTTGGATTCTTCTATGGCAGCCACTACATGATCAAACTTAGGAGTGAGACTCCTTAAAATTTTTGCAACAATTGTTTGATCATTAATATTCTCCCCATAAGACCGCATTTTGTTGACAATTTCAGCAACTCTGGATAAAAAATCCTGCACCGGCTCTCCACCTTTCATCTGCAAGGTTTCAAAATCCCGACGAAGTGATTGAAGTTTTATCTTCATTACCTTAGAGGAGCCTTGAAATGTTGTTTGCAAGATTCCCCAAGCTTCTTTCGCTATATTTGCTGCAGCAATTTTCAAGAAAACTATCTCATGAACGACTTGTTGGATAAAAAATAATGCCTTTGAGTCCTTCTTCTTATTGTCTCTCAATCTCGCCTCTTCATCTGGTTCGATATAGCCATTCTCAACTAAGTCCCAAATATCTTGAGACTTGAACAAGGTCTTCATCTTGATGCTCCAGAACTCATAGCTTTCTCCGTTGAAGATTGGAATCGATAGTTGAGATACATTCACGATATTGCCGTTAGTCGCCATTTGTTATAAATCCCCGCTACAAACGAACCTGGCTCTAGATGCCAAAAATGTAGAAAAAATAAAGAAACAATGGACTTTTAGATGACAGAACTTTCTGCTTTTATTCAATGCTTAGAATGAAACAAACATAGGCCTTATATAGGCTTGACAACACAACAAACTGACAGAAAAAAGGAACCACTATTGCACGTAAATAACAATAAAATCAGAAAAATAAGGAACCACAACAGTCGATACTAAAAATAGGATGACTTTGAATCATTCTCCAACAGTTCTTGCCAAAGCAGGGCTCCGCCTCGCGTTACCATTCTTGACAGGACGAAGCATTCAACGCTAATCCTAAAAGAGAACGCTGACCCAAATATTGATGAAGCGTTGCAGCAACAGCCAATTAAAGCCATTGTTCCTTCAAAAGACAACCTTCATCAACCCCTGGTATGCTCTCATCTATATTGGGTGACTTCACTCACTTGCTTTTAGTGACTGAACAGGATGGTGGTGGTAAGTGTGCATGTCGCATACAAACAAATTGCCCAGATGGCCAAGCGGTTCCCATGCTTGAATAACCAGGTCCTTTCTTCGCCTCCCTTTAATTATGGTTATTAAATAAATGAGCGGAACGTGCAGGGATGCAGCCACCCTTGTTTCCTTATGGCCTTCCGTAAGTATTTACGTAAATTTAAGCCTGACTTAGTTGCAATCTTTGAGTCGCGGATAAGAGCAGGGTTTCAAATCGTAGTCGCGGTCGTGTTTTCGATCATTTCGGGTTTACCGTGCTTGTTGCCATTGTGTGTGCTATTTTGGCCGTCGCGAGCGCTATTGCAGGTGTAACGAGTAACTCAAACGGCGGCGAAATCACTATATCACGGACGAAATCGCGTTTTCGGGACGTTTTTTGAAACCCTGGATAAGAGGCGACAAAGTTGATGCTTTTATTGCTTCTATGGGGTTCTCTTATTCTCATCGTATCAAAGCAATTGTGTTGCTTCAGAAGAATGGAAGGATTTCTCGCCTGATCGGCGTGGCTTCCCAATCTATCACCTCTTCTTTGCCGACGATTTAATGTTGTATGCAAAGGCCGATCTAACTCATACAAAGGTCATTGAGAGAGTCCTCTCCCAATTTGGACACTTCTCCAGACACCATGTTAGTAAGAGGAAAACTCACATCTTTTTCTCGCCTAATACTCCTACTGCAATAAGAAGTGTCGTCAAAGCGTATCTTGGATTTCAAGAGGTTGGTTCTCTAGGCAAGTATCTCGGAGTGTCTATTTTTTAGGGGCGAACTACAGCCGCTGATTTTTCTTTCATCTTTGATAAGTTCTGTGATACATTAAATGGATGTGCTACAAACCCTTTCAATGGCAGGACATCTTACTCTCGCTAAATCAGTCCATTCGGCAATTCCAACTAACTTCATGCAAGTCATGGTATTCCCTAAGCGCATTTGTGATGACGTTGTAGCTCTCATAAGACATTTTATCTGGGGATCTACTTCCATGGGTTCAAAAGTCTCTCTCGTTATTTGGTCTACTGTCTGCAACCCGATTGCGAGAGGAGGCTTGGGTATTATTCGGCCCTTGGTTTAAAACAAAGCTTTCATGTTGAAGCTTGGCTACTCTATCTTGACGAGCCAATATCATTGCTGGGTGTGCCTCCTGCGGCAAAAATACGAACTCATCGAGCCCTACCCCTCCTCTATAACAAGACAACGCTGCTTGCATATATGGCATGGAGTTTGGGACTACCTCCTCTCTTGCTTGGCTTTGTCGGTGGGAAATGGAAATTCTATAATCTTCTGGAATGATCTATGGGTGCCACGCCTAGGACCTTTGCTTGATTACTCTAGGAGTAATGTTCGTACCGATCCTAATTTAAAATTAAGTTTCGTTCTTGATGAAGATGGCCAGTGAAATATCCAAGCTTTATCCCATATGGTTACCCCGGATGATAGGGAAGCGGTGACGGATTGATGAACGTTGCTCTTGTTGAAGAATCAAACCTAGAAAGCTCTAGACTCGATGAAGAACAAAGATGATGAATATGGGAAGGTGGCGGCAGTCGCTAGGATTGTTTAGGGTTTCTTTTATGTGCTGTAATTAAGATAACATAATTAGAATAAAATAAACAAAAGATAAATAAATGAAAGATGAAATAAGATAATAAAGAAATCAAAAGATCTCCCTTATGAAGGTAAACGGTAAAGATGATTGATGGTGCGGATGGATTTGTGGAAAAATATATGGATAAGTGTCCTATTGAGCCCTCCTAGTCGCAATGAAAAGGCAAACACGATAAATGGCTCTAACCAACCCTCCTAGTCGCGATGAAAAGGCAAATTGGAGTGTGAAGATTAATCTCCCTCACAAGAACTTGAAAGAACTCCAGGAGAAGAAGCTTCGAAGGCACAAGGCAATCAGCACTTGCAAAAACAAACTCTTGTTGTATTATTGATCAAAGAAATCTTATTTACAAAGTAGAATGAAACCTCCTTTATATAGGGGCTGAGTTCTAAAGGTTCTAAATAACTAATGAATAAAATAATAATAAACTAAACATGTCTTAACTCTAATTCCTAATAAAATAATAATAACTAAAGATAATATTTTAACCCAACCTTAATTCCTAATAAAATAATAAATCTAATCCTAAAAGATAATGCATCATCATATATTAAGTTATATTACAAATAATCAATAAAAATATTGAAAATTCGTAATATTTACAAAATCCCGTATTAATCCCGTATAGGATTTTCTGCATGCACCGTCTTCAGTAAAATGGTCATATCTTGAGTTCCCGATATCGGATTGATACGATTCAAGAACTGTTGGAAAGATAAGAGACAGACGGTTGTATCTCCAGAAGATATGTTGACCAAATAAGATCAGGATCCAATTCAAAAAGTCGTCTCAAGTCTGCTACTGTTCTGATCTTCTTTTCCAAAGCTTGGACGAGTGGATCATTTGGAAGAGTTATTACTTCTTCCTTTGATGTGAGCCTTGTGATGGATGTATCATCAAATGATACATGCACCAGAGTCCATAATACCGCGAGCACAGACGACATCCCAGATGCACTTGTTTGGCGATGGAACCACGAACACTAGTTCAAAGTCAGCGATGCTTACTCTAAACTCATGGAAGATAACTAACTGGCAGGAAACAAACAATAATTGGAAGAAAATCTGGTTTCTCCTCATTCCTCATGACTAACTTTGAGCAAAGTAAGCGGCTGCTCACAACTGATCCCTTCTTCCCATCTTGTGGTGCTTCCTTTGAGACTACACTCCACGTTCTGCGAGATTGCCATCGAAGTAAGAATCTTTGGCTGCGAGTCGTTCTTCTGAGTGCTCATTCTAGCTTTTTCACTGCTGAACTCCACCAATGGAAAACTCTGATGGTCGAGACTCGATTGGTGGTGTAATCAGAAACTCAAATGGTGACTGGATAACAGGATTTTCAAAGAATATCGGAACTATTTCGGCTTTGTAAGCGTAACTATGGGGCATCTATGAAGGTTTGCTTATTGCATGGAGCCTGGGTATCTCGCGACTACGGATCCAAACTGATTGCAGCCAAGCCGTCAAACTTCTCAGCAATGATGGCGTATCTGTTAGCCATATTCCCTTAGTTCGTGCCATTATGCACCTGTGTAGCCGAGATTGGATAACCAAGTTTCAATGGATCCTGAGGAAAGCGAACATGATCGCTGACAAGATGGCCAAGCTAACATCGTGCCAACACTTCCGAGTAATCCACGTTGACATCCTTCCCGATGAACTTACAGACCTCATTGGTTTGGAAGCTACTGCTCAACAAGAAGACGATTTTGTGATCACCTAGCCTTCTCTTTTTAGGCTTCTTTTCAAATCAAAATAATAATAATAATAATAATAATAAATAACTAAATAAAATAAAAATAAATCAATTCATTAACTATTAAAAAATTTGAGTTATTTAAATTTACTATTTATGTTATTGGGTAAGTTACATGGGTGACCACTAAATTATGATTAAAAATCATTTTGACTACCGATGTTTTAATTTGATCAAATAGATCATCCAACTATTTAAATGTTTCAATCAAGCTAACTTTCATTAATAGTTAACGGAACAAGTGACATGACAGTTAAAAATATTTTGGCATAATTACACAATTGGTCCTTTTACTTATATATTCATTCAATTTGGTCATCATTTTAATAAATTAAAATAATGACATGTGTCATCATTCGATTGGAAGACTAATTTATTTTAATATATTTTGAACTTATTGATTAACTTTCCTCCAATATGAGGGTGACACCAAATCATTGGACCAAAGCATCCATTTCATTATCTTCATACAACAAGTAATATACATATTGTATCTTAGTAATTTTTTTAAACAACAAATAATATAATTAATAAATAAAAATTAAGAATATTTTTACATTAATAAAATATATAAATAAAATATATTAATTTTTTATTTAGTTATATAATTTAATATTATATATATTTATTAATATAATACATATATAATATTTTATATTAACAAAAAATATGAATATAATATTTTATACATCTTAATTCTTAAATTTTTAAAATATTTTTTTATTTTCTTCTTAACTTATTAAATATATTTTATTTTTTTCTTAACCTATTAAATATATTTTATTTTGAAATGTAAAAATATATATATTTTATCTTTATCTTCACTTAAAAATATAATTTTATTTTTATCTTATTTTTAAAAAAATATATTAAATTAATATATTGTATTATTATTTTAATATATTTTTTATATATTCGTATTTTTGTTAATGTAAAAAATATTTTTAATTTTTATTTATTAATTATATTATTTATTGTCTAAATAAGAATTTACTAAGATACAAGATATATAATATTTATTGTTTGAAAATAACCAAATTGGTGCCTTGGTACAATGGTTTGGTGGTTCCCCTTTACCCAAAGTGACTTGAATTTAAATTTTTTCAAATCAAATTGAATTTATAAAATTACAACTCGAAATTAATTTAACTATAATCAAAATTCAAATTTTTAAGTTGAATTTTATTAAGTCCTACTCGTACTGGCCTTAGCCATCACAACTGACAAATACAATGATAAACACATGGACGATTCTATTAAGTAGGTTGGGGGAGGGGGGGTTTGGGCGTGGCCCCAACCTGACAATTTTTTTACATTTAATTGATATTGTATATAATTTAAATATTTATGAGATATTTATCTCTCTCAAACTACAATCTTGGCTCTCCAGATATACAAACATGTAAAGAATTGATATTAGCGCGAATTACCCTAATTTGAAGACTCGGATAGCCTAATGTGTAAAAATATCTGCTACTGTCATTTTAACTTAATAATACAAAAGTTACCAAATTTACTACAGAAAATATGCTTGAAAACATGTCTAAAATGAAATGTAAATGAAATGTAAATGAAATGTAAACGAAAGTGATAGAGACAAGAAGCTCCCTCCGTACGGAGGATAAAGCTCGATCTATTGCTGTTTCTCCCGTCTTCCTTGAGCTTTCCTGCTGCAGCAATGGTTGGTCACTGAAATTGTCATCAGCTATATGTTTGTCCTATAGGAAACTGATGCATGAACTACTACAGCAAGCACAACAACAAATATGATTAATTGTTAAGCATAAAAACATGACAATTCACAAGCTTGTCAAGGTTAGATTAATTCTTTTTTCATTTTCAAGAATTAAAGTGTCTGAAATGTGCATTAAAGACAGTCAAGAACAGTGTCTTCCTACAACAGTAGCTGAATAATACTCACCTTCTCCCCAAACAGATCTTTACACCATTGTGCAACGATTTTTAACTTGCTTTACAGTTATGATAAAGTCCGACTTACCACGGAAGATTGCCCCCTGAAAAGTCAAGCATTGTAGGTGAAGGTGAGCTTTTTTGAATAGTTAAGGTGATTACGAAGTAATATATGTTCTAAATACAATCAACCATTTGACAATGAACACTTAATCACCCATGATGCAGTAGTTGGTGCTCAAACCTGAGAACTCTAGGAATAACAACAATTCTTTTAACTATTGATATAGTTTGATTCGTGTTGCACCGAAAGAGTCCTAAACACACACATACATTGTAACACCCCTAGTTTTATTCATTTGTTTTGAATATATTTAATTAATTATGGGACCAATTTGTAAGATTTTGATGTTAGGACAATATTCAAAATTCTTGAAAGTTTAGGAATTCAACCCTAAATTTGCCCATTTCATGTATGCAAAGGAAAAAATGAAAAAAAATATGACTATTATGGTTTGAACCCATGCATTAGCCACTAAGCTAAAGCATTATTTATGTCTTAAAATGTGAAAAATATCTTTTGAACCTTAGATCAGGTTTTATATCCTAAAGCCCTCCCAGTTTCAAACTGAGCTTCTACAATACCAAAACGATTCCCAAGCCTTTCCACCTTCGCCATCCATAACTGAACCATCGTCTTTCGATCAACTATGATCGACACTGCCGCCACTTGAGGGTCTGTTGTCATCTTCTAACCAAAACCCTATCGATATCTCATTGAGAATCGATGTTGTTAGCCGTAAAGCCGCTCGAAGCCTCGCCAGAGTTCTAAGTCACCGCCTTGATTTTTCATGATTTTCGACCGATCCCAACAACCTTAGGTCTCACCACCACCACTATTAGCTCCGTCACATCGTTTCGGTCAAAACCCAACCAAACACGTCGCCTCGTCATTGCTTCTTCGTCGTCCGCTGTTGAGGTAAACTTCCGACCACTTTTTACAAGTATTTCATTGTGATTTGGCTAGTTATCTGAGCTATTTTGGGTTAATTGTGTTGAATGGATGCCTGGGAAAAACAAGCTTACTCCCATTGCCCTTTTGGCCATCGCACGCATCGCCTTTGCGCATAGGGCTTCTTGGTTGGCAGGAAATTATTTAGAACCAGTCTGGTTAGCTCAGACCAAACCGATATGTCTTAGACTAAATCGATCTATTTTTGAACCGGGACAAGAGAGTTAAATCGACCTGAGTTAACTTACATCGAGCCTACTCGATCCGATCTGACTTATTGACTTTGACTCAGATCTTTGATTTTGAATAAAAGTTGACTTTGTTATGAAAAGTCATATCTAGTATTTTTTTAACTTATGAGTTCAATATTGTGGTCTGTTTTGCCAAACTCTAACCAAAAAACCTCCAAATCGAGTGTTAAACCCCAAACATGCATATGTATTAAATTATTTTATTCAATTTCAATTAAAGTAAGGTCAAGGAATAATTTATTGTCTTGATTTTTGAAGGTACTCAAGATTCTCCCGATCGTTCGTCAGCTCGACTCATCTTCTCCCAATCTATTCGATCGCGTAAGTCTGTGATTACCCGTATAGTTTTGTAAAACCTATACATACTTAGATTTAAAATTTACTTTAGTATTAACATGAATTTGTTATGGTTTAGGTTCAAGTGTTGTTGTAGAGCGCAGCGAGGATGGTACTCAGTAAACCTCTCAAACTGATCATTTTCGATGTGCGTTTCTTGTGTGTTATATGACTATTTTATCTGTTCTAAAATATGATTTGTTATTTGATTCAATTTATGAATTTTTTTTCTGATCAATATTATGATTTCTTGATTTACCGTTTATGAACTATGTTTGCCCGATATATGCTCTCTAGTTGCATGTTTTTACTGAAAAATATAAATATGCATGATTTATGGATCCTAGAACTTCTGTTTACTATCTGAACTATTTTATTGGGGGTACTGTTTGGGTAGGATTCTTATGGTTTTGACGTTTAGCTCTCATCAAGATAGAAATCTTTATGGACCCAAGGTGTCATTTGGGTAGGCCCATAGGCCCCAAGGTAGTCCTTGAGGTTGACTTCTATAGCTATCGGATATAGGGTAAGTCCTAATGGATGTAGTTCTAGGGGACTGCATTTTGGTATATTGGTGGAATGTAGTAATGTGTTTTAAAACAAACCTCACTACTATTTTTTTTTATAATACTTTACTAATTACTTTATGAAACTTTTTGGTATGCTTTACTATGCACTTCTTGGAATACACTGATTTCTCTAACTCACTCTTCCAATTTTCCCTTTTCAGATACTTTTGGTTAGGCACCCTCGGACTTGGCACTTGGAGGATCAAAACATTCAGTACCATTTTTTTTGTAATGTTTTCATTTTACAGGATATCATAATTCAACACATATGCCTATATATTTTGAGATACTTATTTTATGACATATATTGTTTTATTACTGATGTTATATTATTTTGATACTGGTTATTTGATGTTTTATATGGAAGTATGATATTGTATACTTTTATTACTATTCGAATATATTACGATTTTAAGTTATCTAAGAATGTTTTGAAAAATTTAATGTAATTCGTTAGATCTAGTCGTAATGCATAGGTTGCGTTTAGCGTGTTACATTTGGTTGGTATCAGAGTTTTTTTTATAACCTTGGATTATATATAAGTCTTATACAAAAATATTGTTTTAAAATGTTTTTCAAAATTTGCTACAAAGGCCATATCACCAAAACGTTTAATAATTTTAACTGTGTATGGTAATCATGTGCCAAAATTAATCTTAAGTCATTACCTTTGTGTAGTGAGCCATGAGATCCATTATTTTGAGCGCTAGATGAGGACGTCAACCTTCCCTTGGGAAAGGTCAAGCTGCTAGATTCACTGACCTGGCCGTATACCCATCACTTTTAGTAGATCCTCTTACCCCTATAGGTCTTTTAATTCCGAGGGATCCACCCATTCCCCTGGTATCGATATGATGACACTTGTGAGAGGAATGCCAGTTGCTAAGACTAAGTCTATAGGAGTGGTGTCTTATGAAATACATGGCATACAATTTTTTTAGTTGATTCAAGGTGCAGTTAGAGCAGTAGGCGCCACACTTGAAGTTCCCATCACTTAGACCATTATTGCTAATGTGGTTTGAATGTTTGGAGGCCCGACTGGTGGAGCTCCTACTGAGGCTAAAGACTGGCTCTGTGATATTGAGAGATGCATGGATCAGTTGGGTTAAGATCCACCAAGGAGATATTTGTGATTCGCTTAGGTGCTGGATGGGAATGCCCACACATGGTGGGAGTCTGTAGTGAGAAGTGTTCCTACTGATTGTATGACATGGGATTTCTTCAAGAAACGCTTCAAGAATTGGTTCGTTGGAGAGCATTATTTGGCTAAGAGACAAAAATAATTTCAGGATTTAGTTAAGGAAGATATGTTACTTTCTGAGTATGTGATGGAATTCTTAAGTTGTTGAAGTATGGTTTTAGCTTGGTTCTTACTGAGAGATATATGTGCCACAAGTTTGCTTAAAGACACAGATATGAGCTTCATAGTCAGGTGGTGACCCATCAAGATGAGATAATTGATTTTCAGGTGGGTATAGCAAAAGATAAGGTAGAGGTTATGGCTTCTGTAGATCGAGAGCAATCTAGGAGGTCTTCTGGCTTGATCAATTCTTTTACACGTCCAGAGAAGAAGACTTGTACTACTACTCTCTAGAGGATTAATACCGGTTCTAGGCTTGTAGCACCTTCATCCTCAGCTGTTCATCGAGGTGATTCATTAGGTTTCCCTCAGGTGCTTGTTTATGAGTTTTATGAAAATCGACACGGAGGAGAGTGTCGTAAGAAGTCGAGTGCTTGCTTTTGATGTTGATCTAGTAGTTATTTTTTGAGGAATTTCCAACAACTACTTTTGACAGATTGGACATCTACCTAGGCTCATGCATGTTCTCAGGCTTTTATTCAGACCACTCAGAGGTAGTAGGCAGGGGAGAGCTTACGGATCTTCTACCAAGACTGAAATTAGATCCCGTTCACTGTAGAGTAGAGGGTCAGTTGTATCTGAGGCTATACAACCATATCTAATGTATGCTACCAGACATTGAGATGACAAAGATGAGCTAGAGGTTATCACAAGTATTTTCACTATTTATTTTATTCCATATTTTGCATTGATATATAATGGCTCCACTCACTCATATGTTTCGATTTTTTTTATCTCGAGACCTTTAGATTTCTATTGAGCACACAGAGAGTGTCGTTATTGTTATGAGCACTGTGGGAGAGTCAGTTGTTGTGAATGAAATATTTCAAAATTGTCATTTAAAGGTTCAAAGGGAAATTTTTCTGGGTGATCTTATGGAGCTTCCTTTGGAGGAGTTCGATTTAATTCTGAGGATATATTGGTTGAATGATCATAAAGTTAATCTGGATTATTAGTATAAGAGGGTTAATCTAAAGACTTCTGATGATCGTATTGTAGTATTAATTGATGAGTATCGAGGTTATCTCTCCAATATTGTATCAGCTTTGACTGTCGACTGGATGAATCAAAATGGATATAAGACTTTCACTGCCTATATTTTGAATACAAGAGAATCTTTATCCAAGATCGAGGAAATTCGTACCGTTTGTGAATTTCCTAATATCTTCTGTATAAGGATGTAGAGTTTGAGATTGAGACTTATCTGGGTTCTGCCCCTATTTTCAGGGCGTCATACCGTATGGATCTGAAGGATCTGGAGGAACTTAAGGAGTTGAAGGTTAAGCTTAAGGAATTACTTGATCGTGGTTTTATCAGGCACAATACCTCACTATGAGGAGCTCCAATTTTATTTATGAAAAAGGAGGATGGATCGCTCAAATTGTATATTTACTATTAGAAGATGAACAAGATGACAACAAAAAAAATATCCATTGCCCAAGATCGATGTTTATTTGATTAGTTGCGGGGAGCCATGATATTCTCAAAGATTGATATTTGATATGAGTATTATCAATTGAAGGTGGAGAATGCTGATATTGCTAAGATTGTTATCGTACCCAATATAGGCATTACGAGTTTATGGTGATGCCATTTTGGTTGATCAATGTTCTAGCAACTTTCATAGATCTAATAACTGTGTTTCATCCATATTTAGACCGGTTTGTGATGATATTCACTGATGATATTTTGGTATATCCCCAGATAGAGGCAGAACAATGATAAGCCCTTAAGGACAGTTCTCCACACTTTGAAAAAGCATCGATTGTATGCGAAGTTGAGAAAATGTGAATATTGGCTTTATGAGGTGTCATTTCTTGGGCATGTTGTATCTGCTAGCGTTATTCAGGTGGATCCGACTAAGATTGAGGCCATTGTGAGTTGGAATTAGCCTAAGAATTTCTTAGAGATTCGTAATTTCTTGGGTTTAGTTGGTACTATAGGTGATTTATCGAGGGCTTCTCCATCATTGCTACCCCTTTGGCAAAGCTGCTAAGGAAGAATGTTCCTTTTGTTTGGGCTGATGGATAGTATGAGTGTTTTGAGAAATTGAAGACAACTTTGACTCAAGCTCCAGTTCCGATTCAACTTGAGCCCGAAAAAGATTTTACAATTTATAGTGATGCTTTACACTCTGGACTCATATGTGTTCTAATGTAGAAGGGAAGGGTAGTCATTTATATATCCTGGCAGCTGAGGTTTCATGGGTATAATTACTCGACCCATGATCTGGAGTTAGCAACTGTGGTCTTTTCCTTGAAGATCTGGAGACACTATCTCTATGGAGAGAAGTATTATATCTTTACTGATCACAAGAGTTTAAAGTATCTTTTTACCCATAATGAGCTTAATCTAAGGCAGCGATGTTGGCTCGAGTTTCTTAAAGATTATGACTGTGAGACCAATTACCACCTGGGTAAAGCTAATGTTTTCGCTGATGCTTTGAGCTTAAGGCAATATCCAATCCGAGGTCTATATTTTCCAGGATAAAGTTATGTGATGATGGCATTCTGTTAGCAGAGTTACAGATCAAGCCTATCTTAGCCAAGGAAATTAAGGACAAGTAGTTGTCAGATAGCTCATTGTTTTCTATTTTTGAGCAAGTTGAGCATTGATCTACCTCAAACTTTTATTTTGACCAAGATGAAGTTTTTTGCTTCAAATATTGTTATTGTGTGCCAATAATGCAAAGTTGAGACATGCAATCCTTCGTGTGGCTCACAGTAGTCCTTATGTTATGCACCCAAATAGAGATATGATGTATAATAATCTGAGAGAGATGTATCGTTGGGTTGGCATGAAGAAAGATATTTCTGATTATGTGGTCAGATGTCTGACTTATCAATAGGTTAAGTTAGATATGTCTTATCTATTACAGACTATCAAGATTCTTGAGTGGAAATGGAAGTGCATTACTATGGATTTTGTTATCAGACTACCTCTGATTCCTTTGAAAAAGGATTTTATCTGGGTAATTGTAGATAGACTCACCAAGTCAGTTCACTTTATCCCCGTTCAAGTTAATTATTCTCTAGACAAGTTGGCTAGGTTGTATATCTCAAAGATTTTCAGGTTGGATGTGGTTCATGTATCTATCATTTTCGATCGAGATCCAAGATTTACCTTGAGGTTTTGGAAGGCTCTACATGAGGCTTTGGGTACTCGTCTGAATTTTAGTATAACCTTTTATCCTCAGAGTGATGGTTATTCCGAGAGAGCGATTCAGGTTTTGGAGGACATGTTGCAATGTTAATTTATGTGGTAGTTGGAATGACTTTTAATCTTTGGTAGAGTTTGCTTATAATAACAGTTATCAGACCAATATTCATATGGAACCATATGAGACTCTATATAATCTTAGATGTCGCACCATTATCTGTTGGACTGAGTTGTATGATACGAAGACTTTGGGTCCAGAGTTAGTCCGTGAGACTGATGATACTATCAGATTGATCTGTGATCGTCTAAGAAAGGCTTTTGATAGAAAGAAATCTTATGCCAATTAGAGGAGGAAAGTCATTGAGTTTGAGATTGAGGATTATGTTTTTCTGAAGGTATCTCCGTTGAAAAATGTGTTAAGATTTAGACGCAAGGGTTAGCTGGGTCCAGGATTTGTTTAACTGTATTATATTCTAAAGAGAGTCGGACCTGTTACGTATAGACTTGAGCTACCTCCCCATCTTAGTCATATTCACGATATTTTCTGTGTGTCCATGTTAAGGCCATATAGTCTAAATCTGAGTCACATTATCCAGTTTGAGGATATCGATTTGAGACCTGATTTATATTATTATGAGGAGAATGTTTAGATTTTGGATCTAGACGAGAGAGTTCTTCGAAAAAAGCGTCTTATGATGGTAAAGATTCAATGGAGTAATCTTGATCTCGCAAAAGGCACCTAAGAGATAGAGGAATCAAAGAAGGATATATTTCCACATCTGTGTGATTCAGGTAAATTTTGAGGATGAAATTTTCTTTAGGGGAGAGTTGTAATACCCTAGTTTTATTCAATTTGTTTTTAAATATTTTAGTTATTTTTGGGGATAAATTTGTAAGATTTTAAAGATATTAAGATAATTTTTGAAATTCTTGAAAGTTTTGGGAGCCAACCCAAAATTTTTCCATTACATGTCTGAAAAGAAAAAAATTGGAAAAATATGGTTATAGTAGTGGTTTAAACCTATAACCTTAAGGGGATGGTCACCCATGCCTTAGCCACTAGGTTAGAGCACTGCTTTTTCCTTAAAATATGAAAAATATATTTTGAACCCTTAGATCAAGTTTTAAATCCCAAAGCCTTCCCCAGTTTCAAACCTAGCTTCCAGAATACCAAAATAATTTCCAAGCATTTCCATTGTCGTTGTCCACCATTGGACCACCACCATCCGACTAATTGTGATCGACACTGCCACCATCAGAGGTTCCACCGTCGTCTTTTAACCAAAATCATGTTGAGAGCTCACTGACAATCGATACCATTACACGTGGAAAGTCGCTCGAAGGCTAACTGGAGTTCTAAGTCATCACCCTACAATTTTACAATTTTTGGCCAATCCCGATTACCTTAGGTCTCACCACCACCATTGTTAGAGTACTCACATCATTTTATTTAAAATTTAGTCGAACACATTACCTCGTCATTGTTGTTTCGTCGTTTGCCACTGGGGTAAGCTTCTGACCACTTTTTTCAGTTATTTGGCTGGTTATCTAAACTATTTTGTGTTAATTGTTTTGAATGAATGTATGTGGTACAATCGGTTTGCTACCATCACCCGTTTAGCCACCGTATGTGTCTCCATGAGCCACCCCTTTGACTTTGACTAGGGTTGACTTTGAATAAAAGTTAACTTTTTCTAAAAAATCATATTTCATGTTTTCTGACGTCCTAAGTTTGATTTTATGGTTTGTTTTGTCAAATTCGAACTCAAAAGCCTCTAAATAGAGGGTTAAACCTTGAGCATGCATTTGTATTTAATTATTTTATTCAAGTGTATATAAATTAAGGTCAATAGTGTATTTATGGTGTTTAGTGTTTATTATTGAAGTTACTTGAGATTCTCTCATTCGGTTTGTAAACTAGACTCAGCTCTTCTCGATCCGTTTGACCTCGGGTGCTTGTGATTGCTTGTATAGTTTTGTAAATCCTATAAATACTTGGATTTAAAATTTATTTCAGTAGTAACCCAAATTCGTAATGGTTTAGGTTCAACTGCTACTGTAAAGCTTAACGAGGACGATGCTCAATAGACCTCCTAGATTGATCATTTTCGAGGTGTGTTCCTTGTGTGATATATGAGCATTTTATTTGTTCTGAAATATGATTTGTAATCTATTCGATTTATGAATTTTTTATCTTATTGATATTCTGACTTCTCGATTTACTATTTATGAACTATGTTTTTTCGATATATGCTCTATGGTTACCTATTTTTACTGAAAATTATAATTATATCTGTTTTTAGATCCTGGAACTTTTGTTTACTATTTGAACTATTTTATTGGGATATTTGTAACACCCCCAACCCGTACTCGAATATGAGTCCGAGATGTCACATTACCTTTTTAAAACACCTTTATTACAAAATAACGACATTTGGACTTATATTAAGAAAATACGATAATATACATATATTAATACACATTTACCAAAATACTCAGAGCATACACAACTTAACCCTTTAGATACATGCTAACATCCATTTACATAACAAAATGACCTACTGATTAAGTTGCTTCTGATCTGATAGTTGCAGGAGTAATGCTGTCAGCTGCTTATCTTGTCTCTTCTACTTCTCGGATCCTACGCGTGAAACACTCACACGCTAAGTCATCGACTTAGTGAGGCAATGTAATAATAATAATAATAATAATAATAATAATAATAATAATAATAATAATAATAATAATAATAATAATAATAATAATAATAATAATAATAATAATAATAATAATAATAATAATAATAATAATAATAATAATAATAATAATAATAATAATAATAATAGCAAGGAACCGTAATGAAAATGTCATAATGATATGAAATGAAATGAAATCGTGTACTTAATCAATGTAGTTATATCACTATGATCCTTATCTGTAAGCATATTACATTAGCATTCATGAATTTGTATTAATAAGTTATTGGCCCATGCTACAATACGGAGAACCTAAGGTATGTGAGTATTGTGAGGTTATGCACTATGCTGTCACCATAGCTCGTATAAATTGCACCGAAGTGCCGCGTAGAGTTTTGCACCGAAGTGTCGCGTAGAAATTGGTCCCGAAGGACCGCGTAGAATTTGTCCTGAAGGACCACATATAAACTCCTTAAGAATCATATACATTTACCAATGATCAATTATGTGTCTCAAAAGACCTAACAAATGTTCCAAAGAATATATATATATATCCCGAAGGACCACGTAGACCCTCTACCCTTGGCATGCCAACTATACCTACAGTTCTCATCTATAGAACATGGGCTTTTACAATTCACATAATTTATATCGCATAGATATATCATTTCCATACCTTTATCACATAAACATTTCATTTTCCATACCTTTATCACATAATTCAGATAATATGTATTTATGTCAAGTATCATAATATGAAATGTGATCATGTATCAAATATTGAATCTAGACTTATCACAAGTCTAGAACAGAATATAATACTATATTCATGCTATTCATATGCACTCACCTATATTTCCTTTCTTTTTCCTCGATCGACCTTACTTGTCGATTATTCCAGAACTCGTTTAGGCTCGATATCTACATAGTAATTCATTGATACTTATCAGTATACTAATTAGTATATTCTAAACTATCATTTCTTAGGCTAAAAGAAAAGCCATTTTTATCTCTAAATAAGGGTATGCATCGATGCACTATGCACTCCTTAATGTGTGCATCGATGCACTACCTGTGCATCGGTACACAAATGTCATTTGATGTTTGTATTTAAGGGGGTGCATCGATGCACTACCTGTGCATCGATACACGGATATCATTTGATGTTTTCTTTTAAATTAATGCATCGATGCACTTCATGTGCATCGATACACCTAGAACAAATTTTCGGGATTTATCATTGATGCATCGGTGCACAATGAATGTGCATCGATGCACATTGCTCAGAAATGCCATTTTAGCAGAAAATTCTCTTCTTAGTCTACTTAACACTTTATATTTCCCTTCTTTTTATATACCTAACTTGCATACTCTTACTTAAACTCATTGTTATCCATTCCATACTTCTAAAACTTAGAAATCCAATTCTCCATATAGAATTTAAGAATCTAACCCAAATTCCAACATGTTCTAATTTGAATTCTAACACCTCTTACTTCTTAGTTAGCTTTATGACAAGTCAAAACTCACTTCTAATTCTTATTATGAGCTCTAATCCAAGATTTCACTTTTCTACCTCCTTTCTTTGATTCTTCATATTATCCTCATCTTATGGTTTTAAGATAATCTAAGCTTTCCTTAAGCTTAGTTATCAACTAAGGATCAATAAGCAACCTTAAATTCATCAAGAATTTGATCACAAGAAAACTCACCTTTAGCTTGGCTTCACGACAGAGAAGAAGAAGGAAAACCTTGTTTCTCTCATTAGCTTTCCATGTGGATTTAAATATCCTCAACTATCATTTAATTATTTTTCCTTGTCAAAAGACTCATTTGCCCCTTTAGTTCCCATTGCTTTGCTAATTGATCCTATACCAAATATTTCAATCAATTCCTTCAACTTTTAATTTATCTATTTTGATCATTAACTTTTAAAATTTCACAATTTAATCACTAACCCAATATGGGGATGTTACAAATCTCTCTCCCTTAGCAAAATTCTTCCCCGAATTTTCATTGTACGAACAGATGGGGATATTGAAGTAGCATATTTTCTTCACGTTCCCACGTGGCTTCTTCTACCTTGTGATTTCTCCAAAGAACCTTGACCAACGGAACCGTCTTATTCCTTAACTGTTTGACTTCAAAAGCCAATATTCTCACTGGTTCTTCTTCATATGTCAGATTCGATTGGACTTCTACTTGTTCTGGTGAAACGACGTGAGAGGGGTCAGACCTATATCTTCGTAACATGGACACATGGAAGACGTTATCGATCTTCTCCATTTCTGGTGGCAAGGATAACTGATATGTCACGGGTCCTATCCTCTTAACAACTTCATATGGCCCAACGAATCTAGGACTTAACTTTCCTTTCCGACCAAAATGTAATACTTTCTTCTAGGGAGATACTTTAAGGAAAACTTTATCTCCAACCTCGAACTCAATCTCTTTTCTTTTAAGATCAAAATATGACTTTTGCCGATCAGAGGCCACTTTGAGTTTATACTGAATTTCTCGAACTTTCTTTTATACATCATGAATTAAATCCGGACCAAGAACATTTCGATCTTTGAGTTCATACCAATTTAATGGAGTAAAACATTTTCTTCCATATAATGCCTCATACAGGGCCATCTTTATACTGGACTGATAACTATTGTTATAAGCGAACTCTGCCAATGGTAAATACTTTTCCCATGATCCTTTGAATTCCATTACGCATGCTCTCAACATATCTTCCAATATCTAAATAGTTCTCTCTGATTACCCATCAGTCTGAGGATGAAAAGCTGAACTAAACTTTAAACGAGTTCCCAACACTCTATGCAAGGATTTCCAGAATCTCGAAGTGAATCGAGGGTCTCGATCAGAGACTATGGAAACATGCACTCTATGCAATCTAATAATTTCTCTAATATACAGTTCCACGTACTTTTCCATAGAGAAATCTGTTCTAACCGGAAGGAAATACGCTGACTTAGTTAATCGATCAATAATTACCCAGATTGATTCTCTTTTGTTCAGAGTCAAGGGTAGCCCCGAAACAAAATCCATCGTCACATTTTCCCATTTCCATTGAGGAATGTAAAGCGTTTGCAATAATCCTGACGGAACTTGATGCTCAGCTTTGACTTGTTGACATATCAAACACTTAGACACAAATTCAGTGATACTTCGTTTCATCTCTGACCACCAAAATCGATCCTTCAAATCCATATACATCTTGGTTCCACCTGGGTGCATCGTTAATGGACTGCAATAAGCCTATGCTAATATTTCTTTCTTCAAATCTTCATTGTCGAGTATTACAATTCTTCCTTTATAATACAAATTTCCATATGACCTAACCTCAAAGTCTTTAATTTGTTTGCTCTTTACTTGTTCAATTCTTTTCAAACACATTTCATTCTTAATTTGCAATTCTCCTATTTGTTCCAACCATGCTGGTTTAAGTTTTAACTCTGCACATAGACCACTATCTCCAGTTAAATATAATCTTGCATCCACAGCTCGTAGGGCTGCAAACCTCTTTCTACTCAAAGCATCTGCTACCACGTTAGCCTTTCTAGGATGATAGTCAATTATCACATCATAATCTTTTAAGAACTCTACCCATCTACGTTGCCTCAAATTCAGCTCTTTTTGAGTCATCAGATACTTCAAACTCTTATGATCTGTATATAAGTAACAACGCTCTCCATAAAGATAATGACGCCAAATCTTAAGAGCGAACACCACGACAGCCATTTCTAAATCATGGGTAGGGTAATTCTTTTCATGTGGTTTCAACTATCTCGATGCATACGCTACCACCTTCCCTTCTTGCATTAATACATAACCCAAACCATTATGAGATGCGTCACTGAATACTACAAAATTCTTGTCAGATTCTGGTTGAACCAATACAGGAGCTTCTGTCAAAATTTTCTTTAAAGCTTCAAAGCTATCTTGACATTCAGGAGTCCAAGAAAACGATACGTTCTTTCTCATCAACTTCGTTAAGGGCAGCACTATCATCGAAAAATTCTTAACGAATCTTTGATAATAACCGGCAAGTCCAAGGAAACTCCGAACTTCAGATACATTCTTTGGAACTTCCCAGTCCATTATAGATTTTATCTTTTGAGGGTCCACCCAAATCCCCTCAACAGAGATCACATGCCCCAAGAAAATTACTTCCTTTAGCCAGAATTCACATTTGGACAGTTTGGAATAAAGCTTCTTATCTTGAATAATTTGCAAAACTGTTTGCAAATGTGCACTATGCTCTTCAATGGACTTCGAGTAAACCAGTATGTCATCAATAAAGACAACAACAAACTGGTCCAAATAGGGCTGAAAAATCCTATTCATGAGATCCATGAAAGCAGCAGGTGCATTCGTTACTTCGAATAGCATTACGATAAATTCATAATGACCATATCTCGTTCTGAAAGCCATCTTCGGAATATCTTTCTCCTGAATCTTCAATTGGTGATAACCCGAACGTAGATCGATCTTTGAAAATACCGAAGCTCCTTTTAACTGATCAAACAAATCATCAATGCGCGGGAGGGGATACTTATTTTTAATTGTCACCTTATTAAGCTGTCGATAATCAATGCAGAGACGCATTGACCCATCTTTCTTCTTAACAAATATCACCGGAGCTCCCCAAGGCGACACACTTGGTCGAATAAATTCCTTCTCTAACAGCTCTTGCAATTGATTCTTTAACTCTTGTAATTCTTTCAGAGCAATCCGATAAGGTGCCATTGCAAATGGAGCGGTTCCTGGCATTACTTCAATTTGGAATTTTACCTCTCTATCTGGAGTTAATCCTGGCAACTCAGTAGGAAAAACATCAGGGAATTCTTGAACTATTAGAATCTCCTCTAGCCCTTTCTTTTTAGCTCTTGAATCTATCACATTTGCAAGAAATCCTTGACATCCTTGTAGCAATAGCTTCTTAGCTGACATAACTGATATTACATTTGCTAAAGGATTAAACCTTTCACTACTCACACTTATCTCTGTTCCTCCTAAACTCTTTAGGGTTACCTTTTTCGATATGTAATTAACATCTCCATTATAACGGAACAACCAATACATTCCCAGAATTACTTCGAATTCATCAAAAAGTAGTTCCATCAGATTAGCAGGGAATTCAATTCCCTGAATCCTTATGGGACATCCCTTACAGACTTTGTTCACACGAGCACTATGGCCTAAAGGATTAGTTACTATTATCTCATTACTCGTAACTTCTAAGGGAATCCTCAATTCTTTTACTAACTTACTTGTAATGTAAGAATAATTAGAACCCGAATCAATCAGTACCAATACTAATTTATCATACAGCTGAAAAGTACCTGCTATAATATCCGGATCATCACAGTCTTCACTTGTCTTTAAATTGTACACCCGTGCGGTTGACCGAACTTCAGGTTGAGCAGAGGATTCATACTGGTTCCTTCCTTTACCTCTTCCTTGTCCTCTCTGTGAGGCAGAGCCAACTCTCTCAGATGAAGCAGGCTCACCAACCAATAACGGGCAATCCCTAATAAAATGTCTAGCATCTCCACAACAAAAACAAGCTCCAGAAACATCCGAAATGACCCAAAATGATTCTTCACACAATGCTGACACTGTCTAGCTTAACTCTGAGTGGATCTCCTAGCACCAGATCCCACTGATTGCGTCTGTCTAGGCCTCACTTAACTTTCTCCTCTAGCTGAGGATGCAACTCATTCAGATCTAGCTTGCGATCGAAATCCTGAGTCTCATCCTATTTTTGGTGGTGCTGAACTGGAAGAAGTACCCGTCCTCTTTGATGTCTGAACTCTAAAATTCCCGAATCTCTCATTATGAGCCCTCTCAAGAGCTTTTTCACGATTGATCACCTCCTGAAATGAGGATAAATTCAATACTATCAGCATCTCTTTCAATCTAGGGCGTAAGCCCTCCACAAACCATTCACAAGCATCTTTTTCAGTAGGCACAAGCTCGGCTGCGAACCGACTCAGCTTGTTGAACTCGCATTCATACTCATATATAGAACGATTCATCTGCTTCAAGTTCATAAACTCTTGCTTCATCTGTCGAATAAATTGATCTCCAATATACTTGTTTTTAAATTCCTCCAAGAATAAGGACCAAGTCAATTGGTCACCGGATATCCTCATGGTGACGTTCGTCCACCATATCCTTGCCTGACCCCTCAATAACGAGACAACTCCATCTAACTTCTTCACTTTAGAGCAGTGGAGACCATCCAACATGATTTTCAAATCATTTAACCAAAGATCCACCGCAACCAGACCTTCCTCGACTTCTCCCTTAAATTTGGGAGCTCCTAAACCTCTCAACTCTTTTGCTACATTCATTCTTTGAGTTAGTGGAACAAGAGGTTGAAGACGCGTCAGAATAGTGTCTAACATTCTAAAGAACGTGTCTTGGTCTTGTACAGGCACTCCCTAAGATGCATGTCCTTAACCTTGCCTGGCCAGGGCAGATGAATTACTACATTCATAAGGCCTATCTTCTCCCGCTTCACTTCGGGAGCTACTATGTCCGGACATCTAATAAAATAACCACATTGTTCTATTAGCAAAACAACATACTCATACTATACCATATCAGAAGTTCTCACTATTTGTAGGCATGTATCCCATTTAAAGACTCTATAGACTCTGGTTTATGCCTAGAATCGGCTAAACCATAGCTCTGATACCATTAAATGTAACACCTCCAACCCGTACCCGAATACGAGTCTGAGATGTCACATTACCTTTTTAAAACACCTTTATTACAAAATAACGACATTTGGACTTATATTAAGAAAATACGATAATATATATATATTAATACACATTTACCAAAATACTCAGAGCATACACAACTTAACCCTTTAGATACATGCCAACATCCATTTACATAACAAAATAACCTACTGATTAAGTTGCTTCTGATCTGATAGTTGAAGGAGTAATGCTGTCAGCTGCTTATCCTGTCTCTTCTACTTCTCGGATCCTACGCGTGAAACACTCACACGCTAAGTCATCGACTTAGTGAGGTAATGTAATAATAATAATAATAATAATAATAATAATAATAATAATAATAATAATAATAATAATAATAATAATAATAGCAAGGAAATGTAATAAAAATGTCATAATGATATGAAATGAAATCGTGTACTTAATCAAGGTAGTTATATCACTATGAACCTTATCTGTAAGCATATTACATTAGCATTCATGAATTTTTATTAATAAGTTATTGGCCCATGCTACCATATGGAGAACCTAAGGTATGTGAGTATTGTGAGGTTGTGCACTATGCTGTCACCACAGCTCGTATAAATTGCACCGAAGTGCCGCATAAAGTTTTGCACCGAAGTACCGCGTAGAAATTTATCCCGAAGGACCGCATAGAATTTGTCCCGAAGGACCACATATAAACTCCTTAAGAATCATATACATATACCAAGGATCTATTATGTGTCTCAAAAGACCTCACAATTGTTCCAAAGAATATATATATATATATATCCCGAAGGACCACGTAGACCCTCTACCCTTGGCATGCCAACTATACCTACAGTTCTCATCTACAGAACATGGGCTTTTACAATTCACATAATTTATATCGCATAGAAATATCATTTCCATACCTTTATCACATAAACATTTCATTTTCCATACCTTTATCACATAATTCATATAATGTGTATTCATGTCAAGTATCATAATATGAAATGTGATCATGTATCAAATATTGAATCTAGACTTATCACAAGTCTAGAACAGAATATAATACTATATTCATGCTATGAATATGCACTCACCTATATTTCCTTGCTTTTTCCTCGATCGACCTTACTTGTCGATTGTTCCAGAACTCGTTTAGGCTCGATATCTACATAGTAATTCATTGATACTTATCAGTATACTAATTAGTATATTCTAAACTATCCTTTCTTAGGCTAAAAGAAAAGCCATTTTCATCTCTAAATAAAGGTATGCATCGATGCACTATGCACTCCTTAATGTGTGCATCGATGCACTTCCTGTGCATCGGTACACAAATGTCATTCGATGTTTATATTTAAGGGGGTGCATCGATGCACTACCTGTGCATCGATACACGGATAGCATTCGATGTTTTCTTTTAAATTAATGCATCGATGCACATGAAGTGCATCGATACGCCTAGCACAAATTTTTGAGATTTATCATTGATGCATCGGTGCACAATGAATGTGCATCGATGCACATTGCTCAGAAATGCCATTTTAGCACAAAATTCTTTTCTTAGTCTACTTAACACTTTATATTTCCCTTCTTTTTATATACCTAACTTGCATACTCTTACTTAAACTCATTGTTATCCATTCCATACTTCTAAAACTTAGAAATCCAATTCTCCATATAGAATTTAAGAATCTAACCCAAATTCCAACAAGTTCTAATTTGAATTCTAACACCTCCTACTTCTTAGTTAGCTTTATGACAAGTCAAAACTCACTTCTAATTCTTATTATGAGCTCTAATCCAAGATTTCACTTTTCTACCTCATTTCTTTGAATCTTCATATTCTCCTCATCTTATGGTTTTAAGATAATCTAAGCTTTCCTTAAGCTTAGTTATCAACTAAGGATCAATACGCAACCTTAAATTCATCAAGAATTTGATCACAAGAAAACTCACCTTTAGCTTGGCTTCACGGCAGAGAAGAAGAAGGAAGAAGAAAGAAATATCCAGAACCTTGTTTCTCTCATTAGCTTTCCACGTGGATTTAAATATCCTCAACTATCATTTAATTATTTTTCCTTGTCAAAAGACTCATATGCCCCTTTAGTTCCCCTTGCTTTGCTAATTGATCCTACACCAAATATTTCAATCAATTCCTTCAACTTTCAATTTATCTACTTTGATCATTAACTTTTAAAATTTCACAATTTAATCACTAACTCGGTATGGGGTTGTTACAGAATTGTCGTGGTAGGATTTTGGAGTTCTAAGGTTCAGCTCTAAATAAGCTAGTAATTGCTTATAGACCTATGTTGACCCTTGGGTAGGCCCATTGGTGCAAGGTACTTACTCCCTTAGGTTTTTTTCTATATCCATCGGGTATAAGGTAAGTTCTTATGGATGCAGTTTTGGGTGACTGCATTGTGGTGTATGGGTAGAGGGTAATAATGTGTTTTTAAGTAAATCTTGCTATTATTTTTTTGTGATACTTTACTAAATTACTTTAAAAACTTTCTAGCATCTTTTACTATGAACTTCTTGGAACACATTGAGCTCCCAAGCTCACTCTCCTAACTTCCCTTTTCAGATATTTCTGGTTAGTCACCCTCAAACTTGCACTTGGAGGATTGCCATATTCAATATCATTTATTTAGTTGTAATGTTTTAATCTTCCAGACTGTCTTTATTTTGGGTGACATATGCCTATATATTTTGAGATAATTATTTTATGATGTATAATGTTTTATTACTGATGTTATATTATTTTATACTGGTTATTTGATGTTTTATATGGAAGTATGTTGTTTTTTGTTTCTATCAATGCTTTGAATATATTACAATTTTAAATTATCGAAGAACATTTTGAGAAATTTAATGTAAGCCATTAGATATAGTCGTAACACAAAGGTTGGGTCTGTGGGTTTACATACATTGAAAAATAAACTGAAAAATAACCTAACAAAATGTTACAAGGAAACATATATTATGAATCTTGCACCGATAGTTTTACATGCATACGTACGTACGTACGTACATACATACATACATACATACATACATACATAAATACATACATACATACATACATACATACATACATACATACATACATACATACATACATACATACATACATACATACATACATACATACATACATACATAAATACATACATATATACATACATACATACATACATACATACATACGTACATACGTACATACGTACGTACATACGTACGTACGTACATACGTACATACGTACATACATATATACGTACATACGTACATACATACATACATACATACATACATACATACATACATACATACATATATACATACATATATACATACATACATATATACATACGTACGTACGTACATACGTACGTACATACATACATACATACATACATACATACATACATACATACATACATACATACATACATACATACATACATACATACATACATACATACATACATACATACATACATACATACATACATACATACATACATACATACATACATACATACATACATACATACATACATACATACGGTTAGGGGTGTTTAATAAGTTGAACAGCTCATACGTTACAAGAATTCGACTCGGTTAAAACTTGATTAATGTTTGAATCGAGTTTATTCGACTCAAGACCTTAACAAGTTGAGTCGATTAAGGTCCAATTCAACTAGATAAGTTTGCAAGCATTTCATAATTTTTTTAATTTTTTAGTAGTTACCTTAAAAAGCATTCTGTTAAAAAAAGAAATTCTAATTAATAATTACTAATTTACTAATAGATAATAAAAGATACTAAATTATTTCTTAATAATTACTACTAATATATTAGTTTTCTAATAAATAACCAAAAACATACTAAATTATTAATTTACTAGATTTTACATATAGTTAAAAAACAAGGTAAAAATTCTAATGAGCTTAACGAGCAACGAGAAAGAAATTTTTAACAAACACGAGTCAAGCAAAATTTTATCGACCTTAATGAACAACGAGTCGAGTAATAAATTTTTTAACAAGCACGAGTCAAGCATTACTCAACTCACGATCGACTCACTTGATAAGCATCCTTACTTACTTAACTCACGATCGACTCACTTGATAAGCATCCTTACATATAGTACCTAGATAAAGATGATAAGTATTTAAGGAAATCGAAAATGAAACTATTAGGGAAACCGTTTTATTTCCCACATGAATGTAGCTTCAAATCTGAATTGAAATGTGAAGATTGAAACTACCAAAATTTGCACAATGGAAAAAATCGTCAAACTATTGATTATTGTAATCCAATGAAAAAACCAACATTAAACAATTAAAATAAATAATGGAGATAACACACAAAAATTAATGAGGTTTGACAAAATATCGTCTACTCCTAGGGCACCACCAGCGGATAATAACTTCACTACTACCAAAAATGGTACAAGCAAATAGAATTCCTTAAGACTTCTCAAATACAACAAGTCAAAGAAGAAAACCAAATGGGAGAGATAGTTTAAGATTAGGATGATATCAAATGAAATAGTTAGGCCTATTTATACCTGAGCTTTAAGGATTGATCTTGTAAATTGTCTAATAATTTAGGGACCAAACACTAATTATCTAATACCACATTTAATTTGAAATTAAATAGCTTTATTGAGTGACTTTGAAACTTCTACGTTTCTAGCCATTTTTAACAAATATCTATCTTCGCTTGAAATTTAACATGCTTCTCAAAATCTTCTTCAACTTCTCAAATAAGTTATCTTCTGTTGTGCTTCCAAATGCGCTTATGTGTGCCATACACATGAAGGTACTCAAAATTTTAGGATATTAATCAAGTTCAAAAAATTATTTATCTTGATTGATGTTACTATCTTGGTTAATATATTTACATGACTTTCTGTTGTCACAATCTTATGACTTTCCTTCTTCAAAGATCTCTCGCACAAAGTGATACCTCACGTCGATGTGCTTGGTTCTTAAATCGTAAACTCAATTTTTTGCTAATTGAATAACGCTCTGACTGTCACAATAAAGACCACTGTGACTTTGAATAACTCACAAGTCTTCCAACAATTAGTTAAGCCAAATAGCCTCCTTAACAACTTCTGAAACTGCCATGTACTCTACCTCTATAGTAGACAAAGCCACCGTAGAGAGTAAAGTATACCTCCAACTCAGTAAGTCTTTTGCTAGAGTAAATATGTACCCAGTATTTTATCAACGCTTATCTAAATCACCGGCATAATGGAATCAACATACCCAACCACAAAATGAGCAAATTCTTTAACTTGCTCAAAAACTAAACCAACATCTACTGTTTGTTTGAGATATCATATAATCCATTTCACAGCTTACAAATCCCTTTCTAGGATCATGCATGTACATGCTCACAACTCCAACTACTTGTGAAATGAAAAGTCGTGTACACACCATCGCGTATATCAAGCTCCCTATTACATTAGCATATGAAACTTTTTCCACATATTCTCACTCTACATTAGTTTTAGGAGATAACTGAGAGCTAAGATTCAAATGAGAAGAAAGTGGGGTGCTTACATATTTTGTGTTTTCAATCATATCGTAATACCTTTTTTCAGATATTGATTCTGAGTTAAACAATGCTTGCCTCAATGTCTATCACTACTTATCTCTATACCGAGAATCTTCTTGGCCTCACCAATATCCTTCATCTCAAACTCTTGATGCAATTGATCCTTTAATTTTTATATCTCTTTTTAACTCTTTGAAGAAATCAACATATCATCAACATGCAAGAGGAGATAATGAAAGATTCATATTGTAGCTTTTGTAAATGTATGCAATGGTCGTATTTGCTTCTTGTGTACTTCTTCTTCCTCATAAAGCTATCAAATCACTTATACCACTTCCTTGGAGAATGCTTCAATCCATAAACGACTTGTTTAACTTACAAACCCATTTGTCACCACCAACGTCCTTGAATCCTTTTACCATTTGGTAAATGAACCATATCACATGTGTTGTTATTCTGGAGAGATTGTATTTCTTCATCCATGGTACTTTTCCAATTTTCACTTTCTAAGCTTCGCATTGCTTCTTGATAAGTAACAGTAATATCATCAACAACAACCTGAAGGGCATATGCCACCATATCTGTAAATCGAGCAGGTCTATAAATTTCTCTCCATGACCTTCTAATTGCAAGTGGTTCAGGTCTCTCCAATGCCTCATGGATTTAAACCTCTTATTCTTCTTCTAATTCCTCTATTATAGTTAGAGAATCAGTAACATCTTTGGATATGTTAATTATTGTTCATTGAAGCTCCACCTATTTTGGAGATCACTCCACCTACTGTGGAGTACTGATTGTCTAAACTTCTTCATTTGTTACATTCTTTAACATGATAGATTCATCAAAGGTAACATCTCTACTACAAATTATTATCTTTGTGTCTAAGCATCAAATTCGAAATACCTTCACTCCATGAATGATCCCCATAAAGAAAGCTTTTATGCTCTAGGAACAAGCTTTGAATATTTCACATGATAATAAGCAGTGGATCCGAATACATGTAAGGAATCATAATCTATAGTGGATTTTCCAAACCATAACTCCAATGGTGTTTTTCCTTCAATCGTTGATGATGGTAGGCGATTGATGAGATGACCAACGTATGTCATAGCCTCAACCTAAAATGGTTTTCCTAACCCAACATTGGACAATATACATAGAACTTTCTCAAGTAATGCTTGATTCATACGCTCCACCACCCTATTCTATTGTGGTGTATATCTAATAGTGAAGTGTTGAATAATACCATGCTACTGGAAAACGTCAAAGAACATATCACTTTTATATTCTCCTCCATTATTTGTCCTAAGCCATTTGATCTTTCTACTAGTCTGTTCTTGATCATATTTTCCACTTAAAGAAAATTTTGAACATTTCATCTTTAGACTTCATTGTATACACCTAAACTCTTCTAAAAACTCATCAAAAAAAGTTACAAAATAGTTTTTATCTCTCAACGACGTTGTTTTGGAACGACCCCACATATCTGAGTGAACATAATAAAAAAATACCTTTTGTATTTTGGATAATGGTGATGAATTTCTCTCTCTTCTATACTCCCATAACACAATGATCACAAAAGTTTAGCTTGCAAGCCTTAGCACCTTTCATTAATCCTTTCTTTGCCAGAAATTGCTAGGATTTTTCACCAGCATGTCCCAACTACATATGCCACAACAAGGTTAAATCCAATTTTTCCCCTTTAGAAGTTGTTGCTATTACTCCAATAACTGTACTACCTTTGTAGTAATACAAGTTATTTTTTTTTGATTCCTTTCATTATCACCAATACGCGAAATGTCCCTTTTAGAACTCCATCTTTCATAGTGACAACTAAGCCTTTAAATTCCTAGGCTCCAAATAAGATGAGATTCTTCTTCAAACTAGACACATATCAAACATCAGTCAAAAATCTAGTTGATTCATCTTGATTCTTCAATCGAATTAAACATATCCCAATAGTTTTACAAGTGTTGTCATTGGCCATATAAACAACTCCTCTATTTAGTTATACTAAATTAGAGAACCACCCCCGATTAGGGGACATATGATAGGTGCAACCTGAATCCAACATCCACTTATCTGAGTATAATGCTGATGGTGAAGCAACCAGTGATATTTTAGAGTCACTAGTATCGTGCTTTGTAACACATGCATCTAGAGAAGCTTTTTCTTTATTCTTCATCTTTGGGCAATATTTCTTACAATGGCATTTCTCATGACAAAAGACACATTCATCTTTACAAAGTCTGAACTTTGACTTTGATCTCCATCTCCACTTTGGCTTTTGGCTTTTCGAGCGAACTCTTGCCATTATGGCCTCTGCTGCATTATATTGGCTCTTTATCTTAATTTTCTTCTAAGCTCGTAACTATACATAGAAACAGTTACATCTTTAAAGCATACTTCATCATTTCCATGAAGTAACATTGTTTCAAGGTGCTCATATTCATCTAAAAGTGATGAAAACAATATTAAAGCCAAATCTTCATCTTTGAAAGTTTCATCCATTCCCAATAAGTCTGACACTAACTAATTAACGGTAGTGATATGTTCATTCATACTGTTGCCTGGTTGATAATCAAAATTTGAACATTTTTTTCTTCATGGGAAGATTATTATGAGAGTTTTTCTTTAGGAATTTTTCCTCTAATGCTTTCCATAGCTTACTTGCAGAAGTCTCATTCTTGTAGCTATATTTTTTCCTTGGAAAGATAATACCAAATCGTACTGCACGCTATACGTTTGATTATTTTCCAATCTTTGTCGTCCATATCTATTGGTTTTTCTTCCTCAATGGCATTGTCTAGACTTTTTTAGAATAAAATGTCTAAACATCTGCTTGCCACATGCCAAAATGATCAGTTCCATTGAAAGGCTCCACAAAGAAGCTTGCATCTGATATTATCCTCCTTATCGGTACAAAAGAAGAGCTTGATGCCCCATCTGAGCTTCTTCCATGGAAATGGACAAAAATCAACAATACAAAATACAAATTAGATGTTGAGAACAATGTACTAGGTAAGTTCCCAGGAAAGAAAGGTGGATGACATGGATCACTTAAATACAAGGTCTTTAAGTAATTTTTATTTTTTATTTTTTGTAGTTGTAAAATGGAAGATTGGATGTTGCGATTGGATGCAAATCATATCTAGAATTATTTTGCCAATATTGTAACAATATTAAGTTGTGTTACTTTAATCATTGTGAATATTATATTAATTAAAATTTTTTTATTATTAGTTTAAATTTTAATTCGTGTACTATTTATTAATTAAAGAAATGATTGTATATTAAAATTGGTTATTTGTAATGTTAAGATGGACATATTGCGTCCTGTCTGAAGGTATTTAGCTGAGGTTGGGTTTAGTTACATAGCCAAATATGAAGAGATTTTAAACTTGAACTCACTCTTATTTCTGCACTAATTGAGAGGTGGAGACTAGAGACACACATTTCATCTTCCGTGTGGGGAATGCACTATTACACTAGAAGATGTTTCAATGTATTTGGGGCTTTCGGTAGACAAACATGTTCTTTGTAGCATGGTAGATGATGATTAGCATTCCTTTTTCCAGAAGTATCTTGGTGGTATCTTGCTTGAGTTTAACAGTGGTTGAATATCGTCAGCATGGTTGCGATCAAAATTTAAACGTTTGATAAAAACTATTATGAGGATGAGGCTAAATCATTTACTCAGGCATACATATAATAAGTCATATAAGGGATCTTGATGCCAGGCAAATCTCGCAACCAAGTTCATTGTATGTGGTTGCATCACCTCACTAATTTTCGAGTAGACAACACTTTTAGTTGGGGCTCCGCAGTTTTGACATATATGTTTAGATAAATGTGTCAGGAAACACATAATCGAAAAGCTTCTATTGGTGGTTGTCTTCTTCTTCTCCAGTCATGGATGTGGTATCTTATTCCCTTTTTATGTCCGATCGTTAATAAGTCGTTTGTCTTCCCGTTATTGTCGAGGTAATTTCAATAATGAATTCTTATATAAATAATTTTGTTTAGTATACAATGAAATATTTCTTATTTTTTTTATATTGAATAGGTGGTCATCAACAAGGAAAAATCATCGTGTCATACCTAATGAATTGGAAGAAATACGCTTACTCATTGATAAAAAGGCTGGTACAGAGGTACGTTTTTAAATTTTAATATTTATATTTAATTATCATTATATAATTAGAATATTATTTTGATAAGAAATATATATATTTGTTCTAGTTCCAATGGGCTCCTTATTCGACGGATGAAATAAGGGTTTGTCTTCCACCTGATTTGAGTGGCCTATTAGATGTATGGATGGCAATTATGCCTCTTATATACTATGTTCTTGTTGAGTGGCATCTAACTGATCCTGTGCTTTGTCAAATTGGTTGCGTACAATATATTATTGAAGTGCATATGAATATCAAAAATATGCATAACATCGATGGACGAGGCAAAAAAGAGGCCAACTGGGTGATGAAGCACAAAGATTATAATGATGTAGGAGGATCGAGATCAACGCATTCCACCTTGGCAGTATATGCATGTAATTGGTTTTTCAGTTACGATCGATTATATTCCCTAGTTCAACATGAACGAGAAGTTGTTCCTGCTTTTCAAGGAATCATAAAGCATGAGAATTCATCAACGCCGAGATAAGCATCCACAGTCACAGCATCATCCTCCCCTGACTCTTGGACGAAGAGAATACACTTCCAGCTCGTCTTTAGCTGTAGCGTTAGAGCCATTACAACATCCACCATCACCACTGGGTTACATTCCCAGTCTGCCAGTTCAAATGCCACTATATCACCCTTAGATGCCATCGTATCACCCTCATATGCCATTCGGTTCAGAAGCCATAGTTGCTGATTTAAATGCCATTTCTGTATGGTTATATGGTCCCACATCATTTTATGACACCTCATGGAGAATATTATACTGCCATGCTTGTAGATCCTGTGTAGGCTTCATATATTGCATATCTGGCAGGTGGTGCTCCACCATAGACACCTTCACCTCAGTATTGATCACAGACATCGATTTTAGTGTTGTCACATTTTTCGTACCACTATATGAGCGACGGGATTATTAGTCACACACCTCTAAGGTCCTTATTATATATAGGTCCTACATCATCATATATCCCTTATCAAAAAAATGTAGCTGGTGTCCATGATGATGATGATGATGATGATGATAATGATTATGATGAGAGTGAAGAGGAAGAGAAAACCCTCATTAGAATAGACAACCACCGCCCTATGGACACATTCAAGAAGGAGATATCGATAGACTAGATTAAATTATAATGTTTTTATTTTATGTTGTTTAGTTTTCATCAAATGAAATGAATTATTTAATTTTTCTGTAATTATTATATTTTTATTTTATTATTTTTATAATCAAAATCTATTATAATATCATTTTGAATTTAATTAGTCCTACTAAAAAATCTATTACAATATTGGTTTTACGATTCCATAAACAGTAAAATCAACCTTTAAACATGTAATCACATGAGCAATATGTTTGTGGAACCTTTTCGACGTACGAAGCTGATAAAATTTTGGCGATAGTAGAGATAATGATGCTTCTACAATTGGT